CTATACTTTCACAGTGCACAGTCTATGGAGCGTCACTTGTCGGACTATCGTTCTCCGTGATACTTTTCTTCAAAATTGGAATATCTCAGTTGTAGTACGCCTCAAATCCCACCATTTGAGCATTCTCACTTATAAAAATTCAACTTTGCTAAAAAAAAAATTGGTGGTTAGCAAAAAAGGACGTTTTTGACATTTTCAAAAATCATGGGGAATTGCGGGCCACTTCATGGATTGACATAAAACTGACAATATATTGGTGAAAAATGTTTATTGATCGTTCAAAATGACAAAAGAAATTATTTTAAATGAAATGAAATTGAAAAATCGTAAAATCAAGATCAAAATTAGTCCGATAATTCGCAGGTAGCGCATGTAAAAAGCTGGTCGTCATATTGGCGCATTTCAAGTGAATTGCTTGGTCGCATGAATCGCGATGAATAGAATTATTTCGATTGAGCTTCTTTGGCATGTTTTCCTGCAAATGATACAGATGATGTACCCGTAAATCGATTCCGATTGGTTTCAAACTTTCGGAATCTTATTTTTCTCCCAAAAAATGAAATTCCAGAGGGTTTAACGATTTACAGGTACCTCCCATACAAAATTGTCAACTTTTTGAGGTTCTTCTTGGGGCAAGTACCCCAGGGTCAAATCGAAAATGGCTCATCTTCGAACTTAAACTAAGTTTATTGGATACAAAACTTTTGGAACTTTCAGATTTGGATTACCTCAATTATTTTTTGAGTTATCGTGTTAACAAACAGCTACGACAACGACAACGACGACGACAACGACGACGACGACGACGACGACGACGACGACGACGACAACGACGACAACGACAACGACGACAACGACGGCGCACGAACGGAAAAGTGTCTCAAAAAGTGGTTTTCTACGCGTTTCATGAGTTTTTATGATGATCTAAGCTAATTTTGCGAAAAAAGTTTTCGGGACCAATTCCTATACTTTCCTTTGACACGTTGTGTACGGAAAGGTAAAAGTAAAATCATACGGTAGAGTTGCGAATACATGCACAAACACGAATGAACGAATGAATGATATAGTCACGAGTTCGCTGTCATAGCCGCATTCGGTCGCATTCGCAAACATTCGAATTTTTGCTCTGAAATGCGAATTATCGCAAATTATCGCAAATTTTCCGAACACCTTGAAAATGGCAAAAAAAATTTGCCGGGTCAAACGGGCCACCCCACAAAATCTGAAAAATAGAAGAAATAATGAAATAACAACACCATATTTCGACGGATTATTGAATTTTTATTCAATTATGTGCTTTTGACATGGAAATTGAAGATGATTATTCATCGGAATCATCGAATTCATCGGCCACTTCGGAATCGTCATCATCTTTTGCAGGACAGTTTTCACATGTGAACTTGTTGGCGTATGTTTTGGCACAACCAAGGTGCACGGGTCTGTAACATACTCTGCATTCGTTGGAATTCGACTTAGTCAGCTTCTTTGGTAACATATGCATGCAGATGATGCAAAAATCTTCATCTTCATCCGAAGATGATTGCTTCTTTGGTCGCTTGGCTGGTTTCTTTGATGGCTTCGCTTTCGATGCGCTGGCTTTCGATGTTGCCGCCTTTTCCGCTTTCTTTGCCGCCTTGTCTGCTTTCTTCTGCCTGTTTGCCCAATTTCACTGCTTTCAATGCGTTGACTATGGCGTCGTTATCGCGATTCGGTAGCACACGATCACTTTTACGTTTTCCACTCGACGACATTTTCCACCTGAATTTATGAAAAGAAGCTATAAATTCACTTTAAAATGCCATGTTATTGCATTGAACACGATATTTCATCATAGAAATTATGTATCAGTGTAATCAAGAAAAATGTTAGGTGGCCCGTTTGAACCAAAACATGTCATTTTTGCATGACGCAACAAAAACTTTCCATGATGAAATAACATCAAAATCGACTTTATACGCTAAAAATATGCACTTTTCACAACACGTATGATATATTTACCTTGAAAAATTACCGAAAAGAAATCACACAATGGTTGTCGGCAAAATGCACTAAAAACTGTTTTAAAAAAAATTTCGACACGAATTTTTTTTATCATACACAGAGTACGTCTTTACTCTTCGAAACCACACTGAAACTTAGCTATCGATGATTCATTCACTTGACACTGTCAAAATTTTCGGTGGTGGCCCGTTTGAGACTACATTCCCTTACTTTGATTTTTATGCTTTTCTTCAGATTTGTGTCTTTAAGTACAATTCTTCTGAATAAATGATATTCAGAAACGAATAGTATACTAAAGAGAGCAGTTGGAGCACTCAAAATGCGGTATACTTCTACTTGTTTGAAGATTGTAAAGTGGTCGAAAATGAAATTGATGTAATTGACCCAAAAAAGCTGGAAAAAATTATTTTATTGCCTCCACCAATGCTCCAAAGTATAGTTTCAGTGTCACTCATAAGTTTTTTTTACCTCTTTCAAGCAATTTTTTTAAACTAACCCCAAATTGTTTCGTTCTTTCCAAATTAACCCCTCCTTAAATCACTAATATCAGAACCTATGGCAAACATGTGTTTTAAGATTGCTGAGCATCTCAGCATTTCGTAAGGCACAGATATATCCGAGCATATCGACGACGCATACTGTATAATACAGTGGCGTGTGTTGCTAGTAGCAACTTGCTACGTGCAGCCGCAACGACTCGACTGAAGTGTGTTCAGTTGATGTGGCTGCACGCAGCAACAACATACACATTCCGGTCGAGTCATTGCGGCTACGCGTAGCAACGCACGCCACTGTATGCGTCGTCGATATGCTCGGATATATCCGTGCCTTACGAAATGCTGAGATGCTCAGCAATCTTGAAACACATGTTTGACCTATGGCAATAAAGGTATTAATTGAACACGGACAAAAAAATTCTCACATTTGGCAGTGAACGAAACTTATTACAGTAAAACCTGTCAATAACGGAATCCCGCGGGGGAATTTTTTTCCACTATTGACTAGAATTCCAGTATTCACAGGATCCGTTATTCAGAGGTTTTTGAGTCGATTCAAACAAGATTTTCCATTATTGAGGGTAAAAAGAAACAAAACATACATTTTTATGGGTATTCAATTATCAAATCAAGTGATATAATGAACGTGAAAAGGAAATAATGAAATAAAAGTATTTTTTTACTAAATGAATGAAGGAAAAACGAAAGTGAAAAAACAGCGAAATTCACTGAGTGAATGACAAACATCACTTTTTAAAATAATCAAGCAGTCTAAACAATGACTCAAAATGGGAAGGTAAATGATACTCATTTTTTACAATATCAATTTGGCAGCGATGAATTCTGCATTTCATGAAACGAAACAATGATTACCAAACTTAATGTAAATGCACTGATCAAGTGAATATGTTTTTACTGGGAGCGTCAAAAATTTGTTTTCTTGAATAAATAAGCAATGATTTTGGCAGACAAAAATGAAAAATAATACTGAAATGAATGTAATGTAAATTGTACTGCAAAATTTTTATGATGATCAGTGGTTTTAATAAGGGAAAAAATTAGTTTTATATGAAAAAGAGATGAATAAAAGACGAGAAAATATTTCGTCAAGAAATTTTTTTCCAATATTCGGAGTTTCGGTTTTCCGTTATTAACAGGTCCATTTGTTTGGGAGAGCTCAACGGCCAAATTTTTTTTCCACTATTGACACGATTTCCACTATTCCCAGGTTCCGTTATTGACAGGTTTTACTGTACTTTACTTTACTTTTGTATAATATTCTTTGACTACGCCATTTATTCAGAAACGATTTGTGTACTGAAAAGAGAGTTCAAAATGCAGTTTCATACAAAACTTGTGCGTATTTTACTTCTTTCAAGTGTTTGTTTAATTCATTCAGTTGGGTGGGGTAGGTGATCTGATTTCAATTTTTTTTCCAAAAAGTGAAGTGGTAATGGCGAATTTGAGACTCGAGGGGGTGGTAAAAGGTGACCTGGGTGCCCTAGTCAGAGCCTATGCTAACGTATAAGATCGCCACAACAAGAATTACTGTTTTTTAGAAGAACATTTTAGAATTTATAAACAAGTCCGGTGTTGGGCAGATTCATAAAAAGCGAACAATCGAAAGTGTGCACTGTGCAGTCGATGATAGCTGATTACATATTGCGATAAGAATATTTGCAATAATCAGCAAAATATGTTTGCTATTTCGCTGTCTACCAATATGTCAAAATTTAACTCGTTCTCTACGTCTTCGAAAAATTAAAACATTTATATGGGAAATAAAGTGTTCGGTAAAAAATGGTATAAATTCAGTCATTCTGAAAGAAAAAATTTCGAAAAATTGCTTAAGAAAAGGTCAAAACATGATCAAACTAATGAAGACTTACGGACCATTTTCCGATTTAGAGCGGACCATTTGACTTTTACAACGGACCATTTGGGCAAGAACGGACCATTAAAATAATTCATGCGATGAACTGATAGAAATTGCAAACAAAACTATAAAAATACCATGCATTTAGTTATCAAATAATAACATGGAGCATTCAATGCGTTGGAATTTTCCAAATGTTCAGATTTTAGAGCAGTAATTTTTACGATACTGATAAGAAATAAGTGATGGGATTCAAAAGAAAATTTATAGATCTGAATTTGCCAACTGCGCCACAGAGAATCAGAGCATCCAATGAATGCCAATGGATTTTTGTAGGATTATGAAGTATGTAACCAAATCTGTCAACATGTGACTGACCTAGAATTGATTCTTCGTATGGCTCCCTTTGATTGTAAAAAAAACTGATTTGTACAAATCTCACGTCTTTCGGTACATTTTCTCACGTCTTTCGCAATTTCCATTTTTTGAGACAAGGGAAAACTATCGGTTTTTAATGTGTTTTTCGTGTTTAAATATTGAAATCAGAAAAAGTTGTCCAACTCAAAAAAATTCGAAATGTCAGGCTCAAGCAAACACATTAGTGCTTTTACCATTTTTCATACCATCTTTTATATCGAAACAAAAACACTGCGCGTTTTCATTGCTTTTATTTTTATTCAAATCGCAACCACTTGTATACACATTATCAAACTTGTGACATACATTGAGCATATAACAGCTTGACTGTTATTACAATCATCGCGCGCGTTTCGTTTTGTTTACAAATAATTGAGTTCCTTTGCTTCTTTCGCCATTGCTATGAGACCATCAAGCACTTCCTCAGAATTGGGAATAATTTGATCTGCGGGCAAAATGAATCCATTTTTACCTACGAGAGATTAAAAAAAAAGGAAATATTGTTATCATGTGCAATTTATGGTTGATTCTATGTATAATGACTAAATTTTATTTCCAACGCTACCTTTGTCACGGAATTCGAAGGTATATGTAATCGGTACTTTCGCTACTCCATAAGCCCAATCAATGCTACTGCCTGACGCCAAATCTGTTTCAAAATACAATTAAATAAAATTGATATGATTAAATAGCTTTGGTTAGATTTTTTCTGAACGTTCATTTTTAGTCTATTTTAAAATGTTCAATTAAAACTAAATATAAAGTGTACCACTCACATATTGTGCTTGCAATATCGCCGGTTTCATAATCAGTTCCATATCGTTCTGAAATTGCGTCAACTGTTTGTTCACCAATTTGCAACTGTGAAAAAGAATTGAATTTATCATTGGCTGTCACTCAATCCTCGTTCAATTTAATTTTAATTGATTTTTATGTGATGTTCAATATCAAATTTCTTACCATGTCATCGTGATTCGGTGCTGGATCGGTTGTGTGTCCCTGCAAATAAATTTTGTCACACAAATGAATTATTTCAGACGATAAACAACAGCACACACCGCTGTTTTGAGCCACTTACATATGGGAACATAAGCAATTGACTGTACGAGTGGAATGAAATGTACAGATTAACTTTGCCAATTGACTCTACAAACTTGGATAAAGCTAGTGCTTCTGGTTCCGAGAATGGTTTTGGTCCCGCATAAATCTCCGAGCATGGGTTTGATGATGATCCAACGTCTGTCACATGAAAATTATGAAAATGTTTCATGAAAAATATCCATTGCAATCAGTTTCATGTGTATATTACCATTGTGATGGAAGTCCCAGTTTCGGTTCGGATCAGCTCCAACACATCCTGAGCCATATGGTTGACGAGTTTTTCTCCACATTCGATTCTACGTGAAAAAAAAATTCAAGTAAATTCTTGGTTTTGGTGCAATATTACTTATAGTATTCGCATTCAACTTACATTCGAATGGGTGAATGAGTACCCATCTACATTTAACACTGGAACAATGATCCAGTCGTAATTTTCAGCCAGTGCTTGCACTTCTGGATCATTTGAGGTCAAAAACTCGTTTAAAATATAAGTGGTAGTGGCGACGGTGATCCACTCGCGAGCATGTATAGTTGATTCAATGAAGATTGTTGCATTATTCTAAAATAAAATTTCATTTCAAAATCACAATGCACAAAAACCAGATTGTTCCTTACGAAAAATGATTTTTCTCCGAAAATAAATAATAGTCAACCTATTGACAATAATCGAACCTTTTTCTTTGACAATTTCACGGCACGAATAGTTCGATTCTCATATGATGTTCCAACATCGTAGTTTGTTAAAATGTCTGGGTACTCTTGCAAAATCTCGTCAAGCCAATTATAAATAGCAGGTAAATCGTAGTATTTGTCCCATCCAAATGTTGTGCGTGACGACAATTTTGGCTGCTCTTCGTCGATCAACCTGAGAACATATAGTTTTTGTTCAGTATTTGAATTTAATTTAAACTAAATAAACACACTGTGATTTTGTTCTTGAATGAACATACTTTTGCAAATTATTAACCGTGATTCTATTTTCGATTTCCAGTTTGTCGAAAAGTTCCGTCATGTCCGCAAATTTGTGTGGTGGAACGATGATTTCAGCTAATTTGTGGATCGAAATCGGTGCTTCCAAATAGAACATGCCGCTTTGGGAGTTTTCTAAGTCTTGCAGGGCCTCGAGCTGCTTTTCATTTTGGATTTTCAGCGAATAGACTCGGTGATCATCAAATCGTGCCTTTTCACCCGAAACCAGTAGAAAACTAACAGCAAATATCGCTAACGTTAACAGTTTCATTGTTTTAACGAAAACTGTTACTTTCACCAGAAGTCCACCGACAAATAAGCAATGCAAAGCAAATGAAAGTCGAAAACTAGAACAAAGTAACGTTTCACTGTGTTTCACTCGTGTCTAATACCAGCATGTATCAACTCTGAATGACCTTATATATGGTTTTACATCCAACTTTGTTTCACGATAAGTGGGAACTTGAATTGTTTGGCAAACATTGCCATTTGGATATTACATTTGATTGATGGATAATTCAAATGATTAGAAATGCACAAACGAAAAGCGACCAGCGATTACGAATGACTCTCGATTAACTGATAGAAATCGCAACACAAGCTAGAACATGCACTTATTCATTGAATAGTTCAGCTAGTCACGGGGCACTGAATGCGTTGGAATTTTTTTTATCTTATCAGATTTATTTTTTAAAAAAACTACGTAAAAATAATAAATATTGTGTTTTATTGTTGAATTTTGTACGTGCAGAGAAATTTCTTCATGGAAACTAGAAATATTTAAGCGATTTTGCTTTTTTAACCATTGCCTTCAAGCCATCAAGTACTTCAATGGCATTTGGAATGATGTGAGTTGCTGGCAGAAGGAACCCATAATGACCTAAAATACCAACGAGTGTTAATGATCATTCTTCCATGCTTCATCATTAATGCAAATGAATAGTTACCGTGGCGACTGTCGCGAAATTCAAATGCATACGCAAGCGACACGTTTTGATTTGCGTACGCCCAATCAATGGAACCGCCAGGCGCCAAATCTATTAAAGTAACAATTGTGTGAATAATTCCGATTTCTGGTTGCATATAGTAGTGTGGTGATAAATCAAGCTTACAAATAGTTTCAGAAATGCTTCCAACAATATAGTTCGATCCATAACGCTTCTGTATCGCTTTTTTTACTTCTAATCCAACGGCATTCTGAAATTTTAGTTAGGAGGAAAACATTTTTATTAGATTCGTCGAAATCATTTTGATATATGAGTATGAATGAAAAATGGACAAAAGTTCGTCAAAACTAGTATTTTGATGTGCTTGTCAACTATTTAAAGAAATCTTCATTTTACCATATCGTCGAAGTTCTTCGCGCGAACTTTGGTATGTCCCTGAAATAATATTTGAATGAATAAATCAAAAGAATGTAGAATTTAAACATAAGCAAAACACGATCCTCTGAGTTTGAACTTACGTATGGGAATAGAAGCATTTGCCCGTATGAATGGAAAGACATGTAAATTTTGATATCATTAAAGCGACTGATAAAATTGGCCAGAGCTTGAGTTTCGTTTTCCGAAAATGGCCAGGGTCCAGCATATGTTTCTGAGCATGGATTACTCGATGTACCTGCCTCTGATGGGATGAGTAACGAAAATAATTGATTAATTTTAAAGTACCAAAATGAGTTCCAATGAAGAATTTTAAATTAAGCTATAGAACTATGATGCCAAAGATCTTTAGTATTAAGTTTAATTGAATATCAAACATTGTTCAAACCTGCATGATCATCGCAGTTGCGATCAACATCGAAATTGCGATTTTGATCAACTCCAATACAGTATGGATTTATAATACTTGGTGTACGAGATTTTCTCCACATTCGATTCTACATTGGAAATAAACAATTTTATTTGTCTCTGATTAGACGTTTTAAATCCAATCACTTGTTTACTCACCTTTGAATGGGTGTAAGCATACCTGTAGGAAACATAAAGTTAAATGCTATTACAGGACTGATTTTGATATTAAATTGGCATCAAAGTAAACATAGATCAAGTAACCCATGATCCTACATACCCGTCAACATTAACCACCGGAATGATCACCCAATCGTAATTATCCGCCAATTCTTTGATTTCTGGGTCTTTCGATGTTACTAACTCATTTAAAATGTAGGTAGCCGTTGCAGTCGTTATCCACTCTCTTGCATGAATCGTAGATTCAATGACAATGGTTGGATTTGTCTATGGAAATTCAAATCAAGTTTTTATTTCCATTTTTCCGCAAAAAAAAGTTTAACACATTTCAAATATTCAATTTCATCTTTCAGCCGAATTGAATTCACGTCAAAGTAATTTCATTCCAAGTTGATTTCAAGTCAATGTTCTCACCGGTTTCCGCGATAGTCGAATCGCTCGAATTTTTCGGCCTTCATACGAATAACCAATGTCAAAGTTCATCAATTCGTTTGGGTACTGTTTCAACATTTGGTCGAGCCAGTTGTAAATACCATTCAAATCATAGTATCTCTGCCATCCAAATGTAGCCCGAGAAGGTGATTGTGGTTGCTCTTCATCGATTAATCTGCAATTTACTTCGTATATTTCCTCAAACCTCGACCAAATGAAACTAAATGCACACAAACCTTTGCACATTGTTCGTTCTGATTTCATTTTTCAATTTGTGCTTATCAAACAGTTCCTTAATTTCAGCGAATTTGTGTGGTGGCACTAATATTTCGGCGACACCATCAACTTTAGTCGGCAATATCAAAAACACCAATCCATCTGCGTTTGTTTCCAACTTTTGTATCACATTCAGTTGATCCTCATTTTCAATATGGACTAAATAGATGCGATAGTTGTCGAAGCGCGCTTTCTCACAAAATGCCACAAGTAAACTGGCTAAAATCATAACGAGTGCGAAGAAACGCATTTTGAAACAATTTTCTTAATAAGATTTCTATGAACACACTTCAACACTAGCTTCAACATGCCATTCTAAGGCCAATCTACTTTTGAGCAACGACGGTCAGTCGCTTTTATAAAGTCAGTTCTGAGATGTAGCGGGAATTTTGTTATTAAAAACATTTTACAGTTATCTAAAAAACCATGCTCACATGAAGCATGGTTTTTTATTAGATTGATGTTTCTGTTTAGAAAAAACTCAAAGAATTTTGAATTTAATTCAATAAAAAGATGAGAATTTTGTATTCTATTTAGATCATTTGGTGATAACATAGTAAACAAACATTCATTTGCATAATGGGTAAAAACTAAATAAAATTCATATTGAGTTTATTGAATATCGTTTTTATTGTATATGGGCGAAAATATAAAAACCACCGGAGTTTTTTTTTCTCAACATATACTTGTATGTTATAAGACTAGTTCGTCGGCAAAATGTTCAGACAATGTAGTTCATAACACATTTTATGGGTTTAGAACCGCTACGTTTTATGATTGAAACATTTATTCCGAGCGGGACGTCATTTTATAAGTATTGACGTAACTTTGCTTCTTTGAGCATCGCTTTGAGACCGTCCATCGTTTCCAATGCATTTGGGATGATTTGACTAGCTGGCAAGACGAAGCCGTAACGACCTATTTAAAATTCAAGTTTTAAACGAATATTCATTTCCAAATTATTATCGACCGACAAATAAGTTTGTTGCCAAACCAAATTTACCGTTGCGACTATCGCGAAACTCGAACGTGAAGGCCAGTGGAACACTTTGAGTTGCATGCACCCAATCGATGCTCGTTCCAGATGCCAAATCTTGTGGAATTTATAGAATATATTTGTAGATTTGTTGTTGTAATGATTTAATCTCGTCGATTTAGTTTATTTTAATTAAATTTTGCAAGAAATTTTCAAAGAGAGTTAAAAATTACTCACATAAAACCTCAGCGATGCTTCCAATGGAATATTTTGCTCCATAACGCTTTTGAATTGCTTCTTTTGCTTTGATACCAATTTGATTCTAGCGGAAAAATGAACATGAATTGAAAATAAACCTTAGTTCATTCAACTTGTGCATGGCTTTTTTTTATATTACCAAACTATTAAAATTCACAGCGCGATTTTTCGAATGTCCCTGAAAAGATTAGAAGAACAATGCTGATTGAAATGCAAACACAACAGATAACTTTTTAGTAAAAATAGTATTTACATAGGGGAACAGCAGCATTTGGCCATATGAATGAAACGAAAGGTAAAGTCTGATGTTGTCAAATGATTTTATGAATTCCGCTAAGGCAAGCGTTTCGGGCTCTGAAAATGCCTTTGCTCCAGCATACGTTTCCGAACATGGATTTGTAGATCCACCAGTCGCTATTGTTCAATATCAAAAGGGAGACAAATACAAAGAACGAGGCGTAAATTCTTGCAGATTTTTATACCATTGTGCTTTCAAGCAGTAGTGGAGAAGTTATGTACTCAAATACACTGTACTTCAGTACTATTGATTGGTAAATAATCATGGCGGCTCCATATTATTGCAAAAAGCACAAATGGTATAAAGCCTTCACACGTTCTTCATAACATTGGAATTCATCAGGTGCATTTGATACTAGAATTTTTTCATTGAATCTTCGAAATTTCAATTGAAACAAAGTTATTCCAATCAGCAAAAAAAAAATATTTTTTTTCAGCAATCGTGTTATTGTTTTTCAATCTCTATCAACGCACTATGACTTACCCGCATGATGGAAAGCAAAATTTCGATTTGCATCAACGCCAAAGCAAGAATTCCGCTGTGGTTTCCGAGTTTTTCGCCACATTCGATTCTGCGTTTGGCACCAGAGCATGGAGATACACACAAAATAAGAACTCATACATAAACACACAGAAGTGTAGTGATAATCGTTTGCTATGCAGAATTAGTATGGACTGCATACATTCGCTATACAAATGTAGTGCTTTGTCCGAGCACGAAATTTACATAGCGAATGTGTGCAGGCCATACAAATTCTGCATAGCAAACGATTATCACTACACTTCTGTGTGTTTTTGTATGAGTTCTTATTTTGTGTGTAATTGGATTAAAAACGAATCAATAAAAAAAAACTCGAATGCGAATTCATTGAACAAAAAATTACAGAAAAATTCGGCTTAATCTTACACTTGAATGGCTGTATACGTAGCCATCGGGATTTGCTACTGGGACAAACACCCAATCATATTTTGTGGCCATTTCACGGACTTCTGGATCGTTTGATGTTAGGAGTTCATTCAAGACATACGTAGCTGTTGCAACTGTAATCCACTCGCGGGCATGAATTGTGCTCTCAATGAAAATTGTTGGATTTTTCTGTAAAACGTTGAAAGAAAAGAAAGATTTTCAAATTCAATGGTCTTTTGTTTGAAAAAAAAAATTAAAATGTGTTGATCATACACGCTCCGGATTATGGGATAATTTTACGGCTCGAATATTGCGCTTTTCGTATGTTTTGCCAATATTATAATTCGTTAGCTCACGCGGGTATCGCCTCGTCATCTGATCGAGCCAGTCATATATTTCGTCTATGGTGTGATATTGCTTCCAGCCGTAGGCAGCACGTGTGGTAAGCGAAGGCTGTTCCTCATCAATTAATCTGTTAAAGACGTGCGATTTTCATTTGAATTTCAAATTAATGTCTCATCATTTAATGATTCATTCATTAAAGTTTGAAAAAAAAAACTATATGAATGAAGGAATCAAGACTAAAATCAAATTTTCTGCACAAACCTTTGCAAATTGTCGATTTTCAAATCGTTTTTCATTCGGAATTTTTCGCACAGTTCACTAATATCAGCAAATTTATGTGGCGGCACAATGAGCTCGACAAACGTTTGTGTGGCCGTTGGTGGTGCTAGAAACAACAACCCATTCTGTTGATTTTCCAACTCTTTTAACACTTGCAACTGTTCATTATTCTCCACTTCGATCGAATAAACGCGATAATTATCGAAACGAGCCTTTTCTCCCAGACCCGAAGCCACGCTGACGGAAAGTATAACAAATACTATTGCCTTCATTTTTGATAGTGAAAAAAATTGTTCAAAATTAGTACTCAAGGCTACTTTGAATTCAAACTGAATGCAAAATTTGGTGCAAACACCTTTTATACCGAAATTTGTGCATCAAGATTTTTTTTTGTGTTTCATGCCAAATATTGGAATATTGATCGTTGGCAGCCCGTGCAATGAACTCACTGCAAACTTTATAAATCAATTTGCATCTGAATAACAAAGGCTCGTTATTATTTTGCATCATCGTAAAATATCATATTTACTCAAATATTGACTTACAAAGAAAGAAATAAGAGTACAGTGACAACAGAGAAATTATTCATACAATGACTTTTTTTGCGAATACGTCTACCATTGATTGAATTACATTGAGTTACAGCTTTGTTAGCTTATCAAATTATCTCGTTCACGGCAAAATTTTGATCGTGACTTTCGACTTAATTCACATTTGATTACTCAAATGTACTGAATTTACTTCGCTTCTTCGATCATTGCACTTAGTTTATCGACAATTTCCAATGCATTTCGAATAATTAAGTCTGCAGGCAGAAGGAATCCATGCTCTAAAAATTGAAATGGCAGCAATGGAAACATCAAATTGTTGTCAATTTTTATAACAGGTATGAACAAAACACATAAGTTTGAAGGCCAACAACCTCTTCTTACTTTTGTTACGGAATTTGAATATAGCGAAATATTGTGCCTTGCATAGGCTCAATCTGTGATCGTGGCTGATTTAGTATCTTTGGAATTAAATTCATGATATTTGGCTTTTGAAATCGGTATTTATATGGATATTTTTTTTATTTTATGTTGAAGGTAAGACGAATTCAGCTTACATATTACCCGCAAGAAGCTTCTAATGGTATATTCAGTAAGCGATAGTAAAAACAAGCAAACTTCGTCCACCACAAACCGTATTTTTTACATAAATTTATCGCATGAATGTATTCAGTGTGATAAATTTATGCCGTAGCAAAGCCTTTGTATTTCGATACCAGATAACGTGAAAAAATTTATTAAAGAAGCTTTTGCAACGGGTTTCCATCCACTCCCGTGTAAAATGTTGGGTTTCCCTACGAAATGATAAGAAGTATATGAAATCAATTGCATGGCAATTAATAGTCGGGAATTTCCACACTCTTTATGTGACACTTTGACCGCGTGAAGAGTGCAGTTTTCGTATTGAGTCCCGTAATTGTAATTGATGCGCATACTGGGATATCTCTCTATATGTTTTTTCCACCCAAATTCTTCTCGTACCACATCTTGAGGCTGTTCCTCAACGATCAATCTGTTGTGAATTCAAATACATGTTAAAAGAAGTCGATGTATGTATGTTTGTAACTTACTCACGTAAATGATCAATTTTGCATTTTGTATTTCTCAAATAATTCATTGATTCCCGCACATTTATGAGTTACCAAAATGCCTTCGACCGTTTGTTCAACGGCTTTTGGCATTTTCATAAATGAAATTCCATTTTTAATAAAATAATAATAATTTTGCTTCTTGTAAGAGTTTCAATTGACTTTCGTTTATGATTTCGACCGAATACACACGTTAATTACCAAATTGAGCTTTTTGACCATAAGGTGTAAGAAAATGGGCAGATGTATTAATATGCTATATAAATTAATCTCCAAAAAAACCAATGTTTTTGAACAACAGTTGTTGACATCATCTTCTGTACTGATTACGTTGAACCGAGTCTATTCTAAGAATTGAATCTAATCGTATTATTGCTTTCAAATCAACGAATGAATCACACTTGCCAAATTATTAATGAATAGAAGTCAAACTGTCGAAGCCCATATAACAATTCTATTGACTAGATCGAGAGGAGAGTATGTGAAAAAATTCTAATATATTTTGAAAGAGGAGAGTATGTTTTCTGATGATTGTGTTGGCGTTAAAGTAGAGTATGTTGTAGTACCGTCTAGCCTCTGCGGTCTTCACGGTTTTCGCGCAACTGATAGGAGATAACAACATGGTGTTCCCGGCAAAGTTGTAGTACTCGAGGTCTTTTATAACATTGCTGAAGACATCTATCTCTTATCTCTTATCAGTTGCGCGCAAATCGCGCACATAAAAAAGCAAATTTTATATAGAACTTTTTTTTCCTTATCATTTTTCGCGCTTTTCGCGGAACTGATAAGAGATAAGAGATAACTGACTCTTATTAGTTCCGCGGAAACCGTGGAAAACCGCGAGGACCGCCAAAAATGAACATACTCGCCTTTAACCATTTTTGAGTCGAAAGAAACTTACTCTTCTCTTTCATAACAAAGTCAGATGAACTTACTCTCCTCTCGATCTAGTCAATAGAATTGAAGATGATGAATAAATCAAAAATAAGGCACAATGGTTGCGTTTTTTTTCAAACGGCAAAGCAAAGATTGATTGTTCGAAGAAATTATTTATTAAACCTATCAAGCAATAAAGTTGTCTGTACTATTTATTTTATAGATCATAACATTTTACACTACTTTCCAATTGATATCTGTCTGTTTTAACTGCCACGTGTGGTTGAGAGTTTTTTTTCTCCTACAAATACTGAAGTGCCTCTGCCTCTTCAACCATAGCTTTGAGACCATCGATGACTTCTAATGAGTTGGGAATGATTTGGTCTGCTGGAAGAAGGAATCCATAGCGGCCTATAAAAGGAAAATAGACGGAGTTTTGATCATTGTTGCTTTTAATGGATGGCTAAAGACCCTTCAGTGAATTAATTGGCTTTTAAAGCAATTCTATTCTCAGAACATGTTTTAAAACAAGAAACTACCTTTGTCGCGGAACTCAAATGTGTATGTGAGGGAAACATTTCGAGTGGCATACACCCAATCAATGGTACTTCCGGAAGCAAGATCTAGGGAATAAAACGAAAAAATAAATGAATAATATTTTTAAAAAATTATTTTGTAATGCCTCAAGTTTATTATTGATGAAATGAGTCCAACTTACAAATTGCTTCGGCAATATTTCCAACCTTGTATTGTGTTCCGTATCTTTTGGCGATAGCTTGTTTTGTTTTCTGTCCGATTTGATTCTAGAATCGAAAGTTGGAATTAATGAATCATTTCAATTACTTGCATCAATATTTTTCTTACCAAATCCTTATGATTAGGTGTGTGCTCCTTCGAGTGGCCCTAAGAGTGAAAGTGTTGAAAAAATTAGTGGTTTTAATTCTAGATGAAAAAATATTCGATTCTACTTACGTATGGGAAAAGAAGAAGTTGACTATACGAATGAAATGAAATATATAGCTTGATATTGTCAAAAGTTTCAATAAACTCAGACAAAGCAAGTGTTTCTGGTTCCGAGAACGGCGATGGACCAGCATATGTTTCTGCGCAAGGATTCGTTGAAGCGCCAACATCTGGAATATCAATTCAAATTAAATCTACTTTTGATTCGCAATGACAATAGCACGAACCTCCATGGTGGAAGTCAAAGTTTCGGTTTGGATCCGATCCAACGCAGAATTTAATTATTGAGTGTGGTTTTCGTGTTTTTCTCCACATTCGATTCTACAATGAACGTGAACAATTTAATTCTCTCCGCTCAGACGTTTTCAATCCAATCACTTATTTACTCACGTTTGAATGGGAGTAAGCAAATCCATCGACATTCACAACTGGAACGAATACCCAATCGTAGTTATTGGCCAATTTTCGGATTTCGCCATCATCAGATGTAAGCAATTCATTCAAGAAATACGTGGCTGTTGCAACTGTAACCCATTCCCTGGGAATTGAAAAAACATGCAGTGCTTATATGAACCCGTGAGCATAAAAACAACGTATTGACTCTTCGCCGATGAATACGAAACGCAAAAAAATCGCCGAACAAAGTGAAACACCAATCTGTTATTGGATCAATATGAAGCATGAAATCGTTGGCTACTATTTTATTCACGTTGCGCTTTGTTTCGAAGCGCGGCAAGTGTTTCATTTTGTTCCAGTAACAGAACGTTGTATCACTTTGTTCGGCGACGCGCTCAATGTACTGTTTTGGAAAAATATGCATGATTTGATACAGTTTTGAGTCCATTGGTATGATGATTCATTTTAACACAACACCATTCTATTTCGCTCACACTTACGTGCAATTTTTACCCGTATAACAAAGTAGTCTGCTTTACTGTTAAAAAGATGTGCGCAGTAAAGAAACAAGAACGTACATGTTTCAGCAACGTTAAAGTGCACGTAAGTGTGAGCGAAATAGAATGGTGTTGTGCGTCCGTGTTTTGGCCATGTATAGATTTCACTATATAAACCAATGTATTCACAGCGGCGTGAACCCGCGTTCCGAGGATTTCATACAAACTTCCCATGTAGACGATCCGAAATAGGCAACAGTCGAAAAAAAAGTTTAAATTTTTTTCGATTTTCATGTAGTATTTTTTTCTGCTCTATTGGTGTTATCGGCACATCGAAATTCGCGCTCCTTATCAGTTCACTTCATAGACAAATCACGACCAAAACCACCATTAAAATGAATCATCATACCAATGGACTCAAAAGTGTATCAAACATTTTTGTTTCAATTAAAGTGAAACACAATTTCTATAGTCAGCCGATATTTCACGATTCACATTCAAGCGAACAGAATTTATGTTGCACTCGCACAAAACTGTATCAAATCATGCATATTTTTTCAAAACAGTACATTGAGCGCGTCGCCGAACAAAGTGATACAACGTTCTGTTACTGGAACAAAATGAAACACTTGCCGCGCTTCGAAACAAAGCGCAACGTAAATAAAATAGTGGCCAACGATTTCATGTTTCATATTGATCCAATAACAGATTGGTGTTTCACTTTGTTCGGCGATTTTTTTGCGTTTCGTATTCATCGGCGAAGAGTCAATACGTTGTTTTTATGCTCACGGGTTCATATATGTATTAGAATATGTGATATCATGATATAATCATGGATCACCCACCTTGCATGAATGGTGGACTCAATGAAAATTGTTGGATTTCCCTATTTAGAAAAAAACCGCCATGGAAGCAAACTTTAAATTACAAATAATTCCACATGTCTTGAAATCTATAGGTGAGATCGAGAGTGGTGTATGTTACACTGATTTGGTAGAAGAGTAAGTTTCTTCCGACTTAAAAATGGTTAAAAGGGGAGTATGTTCATTTTTGGTGGGTCCTCGCGGTTTTTCACGGTTTCCGCGGAACTGATAAGAGATAACAACATGGTGTCTTCGGCAAAGTTGTAGTACTCGAGATCTTCTATAATATTGCTGAAAACAGTTATCTCTTATCTCTTATCAGTTCCGCGAAAAACGCGAAAAATGATAAGAAAAAAAAAGTTCTATATAAAATTTGCTTTTTCATGTGCGCGATTTGCGCGCAACTGATAAGAGATAA